ACGACAAATTACCGAGTTTTATGCGACTACTTAACTCGAGTTACCGCGGTAGCCGCGCATGCTTAATTACTCAGTTTATAGCTGACCGTAAACGCTTACTTCGCTCCGATAGGGAGCCAAGGAGACCGGCTTTGTGGATTGAATGTTGAAATATTCAAATGCGGTTCCCAAGGATGTCACTTGATTGGAGTTTGCCGTCCTGGGAAAAAAGTATGTAAGTGAATTATAAGGGTGGGTTTTGTTTTATATTGTCTGATGAGGTTATTAATGTGTAATATAGTGTTCGTATTGTTGGGGCTCATTTATTTTATTTATTATCATAATTAGATTTCATCTTTAGTCTATAAGATTTCGGATAGTTTACTTGGGCTTAATAACCTTACTGACGGGATTGGAACCACTCGTTTTCTTTTGAAAAGTTTAAAACACATTGCCATGATATTCGTTGTTTCTAGAGCAGTTGAGGAAAAAATAGCGACTTGAAAATACAGTATGCTCTCGTTGCAGATACCGTTTATTATGCATAGTGTCTTCGTTCATTCTCATACGTGACTTGTGTATTCATCTTGAATAGGCTTCCACGGTAATCCGTTATGTAGACCCACTTCACTTGGTGTGGACACCAGAACTAAAGATTAGTGGTAAATATCTACTTGGCTATCGTAGCAACCAAATTATATCGTTATTATATCGTAGTAATAAATTAATTACTCAGTGTTAAAGGACCTTTTGCTCGAATTAATAATATTTCTCGCAATTAAATATTGTACCTCTTTCTTCTGCGCTTGAGGGATACATCGTTTGTGATCCGGGAAATGGTCACTTTTGGCTTATACAAGTTATTGACTAAATCTCAAACATAATATTTCGATGTCAAAAGGAAAATTCGTTATTCATCAATAAAAGTTGTTTTAATTGATAACAAATTTATAATATTTAAAGAATTTGGGTCTTGGCTCATATAAGTATATTGTATGCTTTAAATATTTCAGTATTACTTATATAATTTACTGAAAATCGTTACTAAATAATACATTTGTGACTAGTGTTGGTGTGATTTTTGTCATCGTCAGCAGAAATAAGAAGACGAAAGAATTGACAATATGGCAAAATGTCTTGAAAACTGATTAGAGGTATATCACATGATATTCTTACTTCCTTTGCTTTCGTGAGTAAGAACAAAATTCATACCTCGGAAAAAACCTAATTACCACAAGTGTTTCAAAGATGCCATAACGAAATAATGGAATTGAAATATATTGCATTATATTCAGTCAGGAGCAAGTTGATTGATTTTTCTAATATTTGATACAGTCTAAAATGATTTTATTTCATTTTACTAAGAGTTTTTTTTTACTTGAGAATTCATCGGCCAATGTTTGTAAAAATATTGGGTGTATCTTTAAAAAAAACAATTGACAGGAATATTCGCTCAAACTCCATAACAAACAATAAGGAAACACAGGTAACATAAGCCAATTATAATCATCAAAAGACAAGAAATTATTGCAACCATACACGTTATCCAGAGAACAAACTATTTAAACGACTCCTGTCTTTATAGCCTTCCAGTAGCTTAATAGTATAAATTCCTGTTAACGATGATGCCATTTAATTTAATTAAAATCAGTTATGGAAACACGAATGGGTGATAAAACAAAATTAAATGAACGTAATTACTCGGAGACAGCGTAGTTTAAGATGAGACTTGAAATTGTTAATTCAACGTAAATTGTGTTGCATCAGTGATATAAGACTTCAGCGGGGTTTTATTACAGCCATTTGTCCTTTCTTAATAGTCCTTAAGACTGGTACTTGGGTTAAATGCTAATACCATTGCTCCGTTCAAGAAAATAGTTCCTCGTTGTATTTGTTAAAACTACACCATGTATTTAATACAAATGATTTACACACTTTAAATATATGTGTGAAGAAATAGGTTATTAATAAACTTTAACAGTTTTTTTCATCCTGTCAAAGTCTGAAGCCTTAGTTATAGTATTTTAGTAGGCATTTTATTACAATATATAAAATCTATATATCCTTAGTTAATATATTGAAGTAGAAATCTTTTAACTAACTTAATTCTCTTATACTCAATCAATTTATGGTAAAAATGTTTATTCCAATAAAACTTATCTACTCCACAAAAATAAAAAATAAATTAATATCTAGTCCGTATCCAGAAAAAGGTTCTGAATACAGCTCAGTGTTTGAAAGTTCCATTTTGTTGTAGGGAAGCATCAAAATTTGTACAACTTTGAAAATATTTATAGAAATGAATCACTAAAGTATGTAAATGCTTAGCAATTCCAAATTGCGTGGTATCGGAAAAATATTTGAGAACCTGTTCCACCCTTAGCAAACTGCTGTAAATACTTTGAATTTAGTACAATTTACGTCAGCTAATGTGCCAAAGTCCAAGTTTTTATCATCGATGTATAATAACATGTGTAGTTATATATTGATGGTTTTTATACGTTGTCTCTTTCCTCTAATGTGTAGTTAATTCTGTGTTGAGAGCTAGGACAGGAAGGGTACTGCATAAAAAGGTGAGGGATTTCTATTAAAAATAAAGTAGCCGAATAGACTATCGTTTAATCAAAATGCTGTCTTCTTAAGCTTTCCTCGACCCTTGGTTAGCCAACTACGTTGATTGAAATATATCTGTTTCCATCATCAATTCAATAGTTTTCTCAAAGTCATAAATCTTGAGTAATTTTTCCAAAATAATAAAATACATGGTATCTATAATATTAAAACGAAACAGTGTTTTTTTATTTCACGATTCTGAATCAACCACTCGACGGATTTTCATGATTTTTGTGTTGAAAGAAAGATAATTTTGAGAACTAGGGAATGTCGAAGCCATAATTTTAGTTTAGGGTCCCAGTTTTTTAGAAATTAAGTTTGAATTTTTAAAAAGTCTAGCAGCCGACGCTAAGATTCTAAACTAGCTTTTGGCATAAAATAATTTGCTTAACATAACAGCTGGTAATATTCAGCTTTTGTGTCACAAATTCAGCATTTGGATAATAATTACATGCATAGGGTTGACTTATTTATACTATGTGTAATGCTATGCTCATTGATACGTCCATTTTATGGGTAAGAGGATGGCAGACTATTTAAATATTCATGGCAAAATGATAGATGTTCTAATTTATTTTTTAGAGCAATCTTTAAAATTTTACGTTTGTTTTAGTGCAATATAATTTGTTTTAACTAACAGCTGGTTGAATATAAAAGTTGCCTTTCAAACTAACAGGTTAGTTTATTATTCTGGGATGTTGGCATTGAATATAGAAAATAAGTAAGATTCAAGATTCTATAACCACTGATGTATACAAATCGAGGCTCTGCCCCCGAGTATTCAAAGGAAAAATTATGCAAATTATTTTTCTGTTCGACTTTTTGAGGAAAGAATAGGAAGATAAAAATGTGTACATGTTTTAATTCATCTTGGCAGCTTTTTGTTTACAGGAAATGGTTAACTGCTTGAACGTTGCTTGGATTAGAAATGGAAATATTAATATAATTTCAGTTTTAGTTGACTTTTCAATCCCGTACGTAGGACGGGCCAACAGCTCGTTAATACTAAAGCAATTTATGGCGCTCTTAGTTAAGTCACTAGTTTAAGACTACCAACTAAAAAAGGTCGATAGCCTACAATCGCTGACTACATAATATCAGAGAAATATATAATACTGTATAATAATTTAGCAAGCCGTTTTATTTAATATTATTTTAGTCATTTCCTATCTCGTACCTTCATTCTATCTCGTTTACTCTGTTCATCCTACTATTCTGTGGCCTTTGCAAATAAATCTTTATCTGATAAGAAAGGTGGTTAAACAATTTTATTCCCTTGTCCAGCGGCAATGTAAAAAATAGTCATTTCCTATCTCGTACCTTCATTCTATCTCGTTTACTCTGTTCATCCTACTATTCTGTGGCCTTTGCAAATAAATCTTTATCTGATAAGAAAGGTGGTTAAACAATTTTATTCCCTTGTCCAGCGGCAATGTAAAAAAAGGAGTTTACAGAAATTTTAAAGTTTTAAGATGGTGTGTAAGGTGTATGTACTGCACTTGGTGTTGAGTTTTGTACAAAGAAAATAGTCTCAATGATTCATAATGGAGGTAAGTCAAGATAGCAATTGAAAATGTAAATAGCTTATGGCATGTAGTATAAGGATTTTTTTTTAAATATTTTATGTGTTACTGCTGACATAACCAATGCATGTAAATTATGTAAATCTGGTTGAATAAATGACTTATGACTTATGACCTGAAAGATCACTCACAAGATCGTCTCTTAAAAAGTATAAATATAACTCGAATAGCCATTTTGCATTGTATAAAACAAAATTAGCTTGTTTTCAGATCCCAATACCGACAGAGCATACACTAGGAGAGAATATTATGTCATAAAACGACGTGAGGCTTCACTTTTGTTGCCAAAGTTTGAAGTACAAAACGCCTGTGATAACACGTTTATCACCTAACATACGATTTGAAATTTAAATATTCGTCAAAATGAAATACATATATATTTACATACAGAATTTACGTGGAATTTTTAATTGGCTAAAGGAATGTTATAACGTAACTTTAAAGACATTGATTAAAATAAATTAGAATATGACTCCACCAAGTTAATATAGCATAATATAGCAGATAAGCTGTGTTTCGATGTGTATAGGGTAAGTAGTATTACTAATGTACTACGGTAGTTATTAACTCTTGCGCTATTCATCGTCTCACCCTGTATATGTACTAGCTTTGATGAGGGAAGGAAAGTTAAGTCGAAAGCGTATGTTTTTGAAAGCAGAAGATTGAAAGTATGTACAGGTGTGTTTACGAAACAAGATTTAGAGTGTGTGGGTATGGTTTTAAATTTGTATAGAAAATAAATGCAGGGGAAGGTAAAATCTTTTTAGTTTTTTTTTTAGTTTTTAAGTTGGTTTTTATGCAATTTTGTTATCAAATGTTACTCACCGTCTGAGTCTCTATGGTCCTGATCGTCCTTGTGTCTAGACGTAGTAGGTGGAGAGGCGGGGGAGGGGACGCCGCCCCCGCTGCCAACACTGCCGCCTCCACTGCCCGCCCCCACCACACTGTTGTACCCCTGCTGCACATTAAGCTGAAACAAGAGATAACAAAATTACTATCCCTGGTCATCTATACTGTATATCTAGACGTAATATGTGGAGAGGCAGGGGGTGGGACGCCGCCCCCGCTGCCAACACTGCCGCCTCCACCACACTGTTGTACCCCTGCTGCACATTAAAAGTGGTGCACGGACAGGTACCCTTGCTGCACAGGTAAAATCCCGGTACAAAGCAAATATAATCAAAATCAGATCATTTTAGCGAATTTCCCTATAGAGGATAAGCTATTACCATAGGTCTCATGGTAAGACCTAGACCTGGGGCCGATTTACTTTTTCGTTTTGAGGTCACATTTGCAGCAGGAATAACTTAATTATTTAATGTTATTTAAATAGGAAATAAATCTGACAACTTTAAGGGAATATTTTAGTCGAAATCCAGCCAGGAAAATGTAAATTCGCTTAGTCTGCAGGTTTGCTGCGGTGGGGGTATTTACTTCATTTATCTTGCTAACGGACACATGCATCATATGATTTGCCTCTTATAAGAGCTGAAAAATAATGTTACAGATATAAATATAAAACATAAGCATTCCAACTCCTACAACATTTGTGTAGCGAAGATATTTAAATAAAACCCTGATATTTCATCACTTAAGTATTGGATAACACGGTAACATTTTGCAATCGATCAATACCCTTACTACGACCAAAATAATAATAGTAGCCCAAAGTATTGCCACCGTCTTCGCCAAAATAAAATGCATGTATCAAATTAAAAATATGATAACACTACTACCCCAGGGCTCAGTTAGGAACAAAAAACATTTTGTACATAGAAAATCACTGATCAAATGTTGACAAATAATTGAATTTAGTCTTATAATTTGTTTGGAAATTTGATTTGTAAAATAATTGTAATTATAATACTGTCGAATATACTTTACGAGTTAAGAAATAAGATTTTAATAAATGTTGATAGTAAGTTATTCGGGGACATTTTTCGATGATTCCGAACATTTCGGAAACTCCAGATTCCCAGTAATTGGAATTCGGGAATCTCCTGGATATTGGATAGTCATCCACCTGCGTATTGGTAGTCTAGTTATGCGTCATGTATTGGCATTCGCACTTCCCTGAATTATAAATATGTAAGCAACGCAATCCAGACATGGTGCAGAAACTAGGGAAATTCTTTATAACATTTTAGTAATTTTGGTTGCTGTGTCATTGAAACAATAAATAATTTGCATAGTGAGGTTCATAATAACAATATCGGACCCAATATAAAATATTAAAGATTTTTATCTGAATAATTTTATTTTTATGGATTGATAATTTAATAATATAAAAAGATATTCGGATAACGTACTTAATGTATTTTTTGACAAACAATTAACTTAGAGTTGTAAATTTTACAACTATAAAGTTTAGGCCAAAAGTTATCATATTGACGGGAAGAGTATGCAAAATATGCCTCGAATCTGAACCTTAGAAATTTTTATTTGAAGTGAAGAATCTCATTAAATCCAAGACCACGCTGATATTGCACTGCACGGATTGGAAAGCAACAATTTAAACGCTGCAGTGCCAGTGCTACATGTATATCGTCGTCGCAGCGCACGAAGCCAACGCCACAGCCTGCTAGATATCTCGCATCTGTTATATATACAGGTACATCGGCAATAATTATACAAGTGACACCAAGATCTAGTGTGCCGCGCCGCGTCGTGCAATAGAGTTGCGGCCAACTTCCAACTTCAGTTGGCTCAACAGAAGTATTCTGTAAGTTAATTTAATTTTGTGATCTACTATCGCAATTGAGCTCATTTATAAAGGTTTTGAGGTTGTCTGGAGTAAAAATATATTATTTGTGTATTTTCCGTAGAACAACTAATAAAAGTAAAGCTAAGGCAAATAAGTTAGCCCAAGCCTTGTGTACCAAGCAATAATTAATAATAATTGTAATATTGTGTTAGTTTTGTTACTCACTCTAAATTAATTTATTTTCAATCCAAATTTATCAAGAGTAAACACTGATGGAAACCCCATTATAAATTCCCTTTGTGTAGTACGTTACATCGTTACATGTAACTACGATTTCTTTAATTTTACGGATCTGAAAATTGAATGCATTTTTCAATAATTCATTTGTATATAATCACCTAAATTAGGTACACACACATTTTATTCTATTGTTTATGTTCATTTATTTATTTATTCTTTCAACGGTAACACCATTTTTACATTAAAATATACATTAATAGGATTTAATCATTTAATAAACATAGCTTAATTAGGTAATGAATATGAGCAATAATAATAAGAAAAAATTAGAAAGCAGACATGACATGCAAAATACATAACCAGTATAAAAGAAAATAAAAATACATTCATAGGCTGAAACATTTCAAGTGTAAGACATCAAGACAAAGCAAATTTGGTACAGGCTACTAAAATATGTGCAATTAATAAGAATGAAAAAGAGAAGCAGGCATAAGATGCAAAAGACATAATAATATGGCGCAAAAGATAATAACAACAGGTAAAATATGAAGTGCAAAAACATAACAACAACAATATTTAACAATATGCAAACGAGACATGACAACAGCGAAAAAAGGAAACAACAAGTGCAATACCGGTAGGCTAACAAAAGAAATAGTAAGATACAACAACAACAAAATAAATAAATATATATATATAGGTACAAAACAACAGCCATAAATTAATTTAACAAACGCAAACACAACAGGAAACTTATTTAATAGACAAACAGGGAAATTCATTTCATTCGTTATGTTTACAATCGAACGTTGAACGTCGAATGTTGAATGTTGTAAACGTTGCTTTACAATCGCAAAAAATCATAACAGTAACAGTGGCCAACAATGTTAAAAATAAAAATATTCTTTACGTAAATTTGAGTTAGAACGTGGCGTATATAAATTTATTAAAAACCTTAAAAACAAAAACCAAAGCGAATTGTAAAAATTGAACAAATCGATCGCTCTAATCAAAGACGCTGTACAATTTGGGTCGAGCATGTTGTATAAGGTAATTTGTCAAACTATTCTAAACACCCTAAACTACTAGGACCAGCAACATTATAAATACAGTTAAAAAACTTTAAAATAGAAAGCATTATTTTTGATGTCTTAATTACTGGTTAAATTACATACCTATGATTTGTTCAGCATCCAAAGAAATATTGTTTGGAGAAGAAATGTATGGTAAAATTTAGTTTTCAAAGATAAATTAAATCTTAAAAAGTCATGCTGAGTTTTAATGTCGACGAAATCACTAGATAATTTTATGTTGATCTGGCTGTAGCTTACGCAACTGAATACGTTGTTGAGATTTTATTGCTGTGGACTCAAGGTGCCACCACTAAATCACTCAAGCTTTCACTAAACTACTTGGACGTAACCGTTTAAATTAAACACCTGCCAAGGTTATAGTGGACACATCATTTAGGGGGAACACCTTAAGCCCACTTGGTTTTAAGAATCCTGTAAAACTAGGGTATAGAGAGTCGTTACATAAACGCAGTGCACTGGATTGAAGTTAAATACATCGATAACATGGTGCAACACTTTGTTAAAACCATTTTTAATTGTAGACATAATTAATCAGTATATTTGATACATTAATTGTTTTACTTAACAGTATTGTTCATATGTTTATTGTGGATTTTAATAAATAGTTAAATTATATGGACATTATTCACACGGGGATTGGAAAATTCGTCATTGGCATTCAAAAGTAGCGAGCTGGTATAGTGGTAAAGCGCAGATTTTAGGTTCACGAGGTCTCGGTTTCAAATCACGTATATTAATGTTGGAAAATTGATATATATATATATATATATATATATATATATATATATATATATATATATATATGTGTGTGATAATGACACAACTCCTCTAGACCTAGCCTGAAGGGAAACATGTCCTGGCTATAACCTAGATGAATGAAAAAAATGTATTTATGAGAACAACTTTGTAAGATCCATAGCTGTTAGCATAGAACTGATGTCAAAATATATATTGGAATACACAATCAAATTTTCGGTATAAATTGTTTCCTTCTTGTGTTTGTAAAATAATCATTGTGTTGCTTCCAATGCTTACTAATGGAAGGTTACTTAACAGATAAAAACATTTTGTATAATTTAACAGCTTTTAGTAAGCAAATACCTTTTTAGGTTTCTATTAAAGCTGTTTCTTTAGTTCGAATCGGCTATTCTCATTATTTTAATCAGTATGAAATTTAAATTAATGTTGTACTGTTAACATCAGCAGCATACACTCTTTCACAGTACGGTGCATAGTAGGTTAACCACGAAACGAATTGTCATTTACAGATCAGTTACATTACGGTACCTTTGACCTTTTTAAACAAAAATTTTATGATTTTGACTTCTCTACTAAAAGTTTGCGCTATTTACTTAACTTGCCAATTCCTAAACACAAAACTTCTTAAAAAAACTCACTTCCATTATTCCTTAAGTTGGAACCAAACGTTTCAAAATTAAAAAAAAACTATTAAAACATAAATTGCTGAGTATAACCTGTTACAGCGTCCAAGAATTCCTGAAATGTTTTGAAACCTCTAATATGTAATTATAGTAAATATTAGAATTGAGAATTGCTGTATAGTAATAGTATTTTTGTACTGTTGTGACCTCGCTAATTCAAACTGTATTATTGTTATAAATCCAGTGTTCTGTAGTGTAACTTGCAACATGTTAGATAAAATTATAACATCCTACACTGTGTCATGTAAATTAGTCACTGTAACTCTGTGGAGCATTGTTAGCATTAACGTTGTTTGTTTACGATTCATCAAAAGTATTTGCAATATGTTTTCTGTTTAGCAACACGTGTCCAATTGTCCAACGGAGGAATTCTGAAGTGAATATGTCGCATTGTAAACAATATTGAGAAGCCAAGGGGGCGTGTTGCCAGCATCAGCGTACAACAGCTGCCAATAACGAACAGTGCTGCTGATTGACCAACAGAATAATG